ATGAAACACATTTTCTCTCAGCCATTCTCGAGAGAAAAGGTTTCTTGTTCCCAAAGACATCTAATTGCATTCGAAGCTTTATTTTTTCCAATGCATGGGAGGAAACATTGTTATAAGATGAAAAGATTAATTGCTGACTTATACTTGCATTACATTTTGAATATTTATTTTTCTTTCTGTTCTTTAAGATATTAAGATACTATGTCTTAAATTAATGTTAATTCAGTTTTCATCACATACCGAATTTCAGCTCAAACATTCCAGTTGATAAAGAAAGTCCGAAGAAAAAAAAATTTTTTTTTTCTTTCTCCAGAAGTAAAAATTGTAAATGGAAGAGCAATTTTGTTCCAACAAATATGAAGGAAAACTAAAACATTTATATACTAATCTTTTAAAATGTATAAAATTAAATTTCATTGCCATTGCAAAAATGAATAATCTTATAAAACACGTTTTTCACTAAAAGTGCTTTTAATGTAATATATTATTATTTATAGATTAATTTAGTGAAGATTTAAAAAAAAAAAAAAACTTCTGAGTAGAAAGAAAAATCTTGAATATATAAAGTAATAACACAGGAATTGAGCATAAATTGAAATTTTTCATTACAATCAAAATTTAAAATTACGGTGTTAACAAATCAATTCAATTATATATTACAGAAAATAATAACGCCTTAATTTTTTTTAGGAAAAAAAGAAGGGAAAAAAAAATACTTTTATCGATTCGCGAATGAAATTAAATACCAAAGCTTCTTCAAATTACAAACCCAGTCTAACCACGAAAAGCAGGGATTCTAAGAATTTCTCACAATAAAAAGAAAGAAAAAGAAACACACTTCTTTCAAGCATTTTCACGTTTCATCTTTTTAAGAGTCATCGTTACAAATATTTTAGTGCTACGCAAACATCGTAAATTCGCAACATAACAAAAATGTTTCAGAAATTATTTTTTCTCTTTTACGAGAGAGAATCAACCGCAATACTACAATATCATTTGTGCGGTGTATTATATAGAATTCATTTTAAAAAATGTTTGCTGTGTTAGAGAACAGTCGCTGAAGTTTTCACTGTAAAAACTCTCGGATTAAAAAAAAAATTACTACATAACTACCAGGAATATCTGCAGTCCAAATGAAACTTTTTCTTATCACAAAGCAAGAATTGCCACTGAAGTTCTGTGAATGCTGCAGAGTGATGGACAAATCGAAGCTACAAATGACTTACCATGACACTTCAAAGAGATTCTTTTTCCCTCAACGTTTTCTCTTCCACTCAGTCTTTCATAGCTATCATCTGACCTTCGTCAATAGAAAATGCAGTACTAAACAAAATCAATCAATCCATTTATTCATTTACTTAACATCAGCATATAACTACAAGCTAGAACAGACAATTGGCAATTGATCGTCTAGGACAAAATGAATCCTTACTTCGTCTGCTCAATGATAATTTCTTCACGGGTAGATATACAGAAAATTAATAATAGATAGTTTTTATTTTTACGGTTGAAACAAATGGGGAAATTCATTTAACAGTACAATATATAACAAAAAACTAAATCAATAACATAATAATTCGTGCTTATCGAAAATCGGACAATAGAATCTTTGGATATTACGTAGCATCAAAAGAGTCGAGAGGTAAACTGGTCGTGGTTGATCTATATAAAGATCTTCATTCTTCTCTACCCCTGAACGAAAACCTTAATAGTTTGTTTTAAAATATTTAGAGTTAGGAGTTACATGTCTTCTCCATAGGAACTCCGTATATAGCTTCTACGTATTCTATATAAATCCCATAATTTTAAAAAGAGGTAAAATACGACAAGAGTTCTTTTCATTCTCCTAACTTTTACATTACTACTGAGGATGGCTTTAATATACATTTTACTCGTGGGTTGAGAAATCTCTTTACCCTTTCGAGATATGGAAAGAAAAAACCCCTACTTTTTTTTCCTCAAAGGAAATTTTAGATCCCAAAAATTTAAAAAGGTTTACATAATTTTCCTTTTAAAAAAACAGATTTTGCAAAAATAGTATTTTAAAGAATGAAAAAAAAGAAAATCAAAAAAAAACTATTGTACAGAAAAATTTATTAAATAGACTGCTTAAGAGTGAAAAGTAAAAAAAAAACATAAGTCATTAGAGATAAAATTATTACAAGTCCTAAGCAATACTGTAGCAACAATTCTTACTTAAAATAAATATTTCTTTGGTTGCTTATTTGTTGTGCATTACATCTTTTTTATATAAAATATTATTTTTTAAAAAATAGTTTCTTTTCAGCAATAGTGCAAAATTCAACCATAATGGCAAACATGCACGAAGAATAATATTCAACGGAAATTAGATCATCTTCAATTTATAGTACTTAATTGTGAACGTTATCAAAAATCGGAACCGGGTCTACTAAATCCGAACCCAACTGAGATGTATTAAGTGTTTTAGACTCCGAATAACCGCAAGAATAGCCTCAGGTATGAAAAACATTTTTTTTCTGTGTATCTCTATTCAAGGTTAGAAAACGAGTTGCAGGCTGTCAGTTTTTTTCTTTCCTTCTTTGGATTTCGAAGAAAGGTCTTTGAACTCAACGTAACAGTGACCAGTAGTCAAAAAGATCTCGAAACGGTCGGCGAGGAAATTTGTAACGACCTGGAACAACCACAATGTTTCGTTTCCCCCACCCCTTCTTTTCATCCTGTTTGGTTCACTTGCATTCTTTATAGATAAAAAAAATTAAAATTCCTCCTCAGAGCTTAAAACTTTCGGTTTTATTTTTAAATAAAAAGGATAAATAGAAAAGGGAACATGTTCGTAAAAAATATTTAAGAAGTTTAATATCGGTCTTAAAAAGGAAAATGCTAATTCTGGAAATTATATAATTGGGATGTTAATGATATATGTATACATATATGCATATAAAATCAGTATCAAACCTGAATGTTAAGTACAACAATTTTGGGAAGATGGATGCAACTTTAATAATGTAGACATTGCTTTAAAAGTTATTCAAGAAATTTTAAACTTAAAAAATAATAATAACAGGGAAAAGATAAACTGCATCATAATTCCCTCAAATAGATTTACTTGGTTTGATGTTCAGACTCATAGCTTCAAAGATACTTTGAGAATTGCATTAGCAATCTTTACTTTCCTCATGTTCATGTACTGTTCATGGATGGGGAAAAGTTGCAGCCTCTGTTAGTCATAGGACTAGAGCACCTAAAGGTAGGTAGAGGACCGACTTAGCTCTAGGTCTAGGCTTTCTGAAAGTGTACGACTTCATGGACCTGGTCTAGCACTGCTGACCAATGGGGGCGTGCAACAACAACAACAACTTTCCTCATTCTAGTTGCTAGGTTTGCTTTCGTTAATTATACAAATGTTTGTCTTTTCATCGTAAATGTAACATTTTCTTTAAAAACCTCTGAAAAGTAGTTAAACTAAGCATTATAGGCAGTATTGTTAAACAAAACAACAACAAAAAAAACCATTATAAGGTTTGATATTAATATCAAATGCCTAAATACTTTTAGAGGTAGAAAGTAAGTTGATAAAAGATAGATTAAATGCAACGATTGTATATAAATATATTTAATAATATTGAACAAATGCATTTAAATATGTGAAGAAGACATTGAGAAACACACTCTACATTTATTACAATAACTACATGACATTTAAATTTGAATTACATTTATGTCCCCACAAGCAATTTTAAATTTCTTCATACAAATACAATTCTAAAAACAGTTTTAGAAGTGATTTTTTTAAATGAACAATTTAGATAAATTGTGAAAAGAAAGGAAGGAGAAGCAAATTTTTTAGCCTATCAGTGGGGAAAGGGCACAATCGCACCAAATCGAAGCAAATTCCTTACTTTCAACAACCATCTTTTATTTAAAACACACACATTTCTGTTTCTCCAGCTGTGTCTTGGGAAAAAATCAACACGGCTCACACTCTTTAATGTGTGTAACTTCCTTCAAAGCTCTGCTGGGATAACCAAAATACATCACTAAACTCGTTCATCTCAAAGCAAAAGTAGAATGAAAAAAACCAATCTACAAGAACGTTTTGCCAAGACTTTCGAAAACAAATACCAGATCTTCAAAGTCTGTTCTGGGCATATGGTTTGAGCGAACTTACGCATCAGTAGCCAAAGCAAGAACCGACGGGTTCACAAGCCTCAAAGGCAAACACATCGAGAATCTTTCATTATAGACTTCAATGGACAAGAATGTTTCTTCCGTCTTCCAGGAACTTCTCAATTTATCAATTCCCTTAAGAGAACCGGCGCGCGACAATGATAAGTGAATAACTAGATGAGACAGAGGAGACTGAGTAATAAATCTCAAGCAGGGATTCATTACCTTGGAGGGCTGCTTCAGAGAGACAAGGGAAGAAATATTATGAAATATCCATTAATGGAGTCTAGATTAATGTTTAAGTTTAATCAATAGCTCCCAGTGGAATACTGCCTTTGATGTCCGGATAAAGGGTATAAAAAATACTTCTGTATTAGTACATTTGTCACGAAGAGAGATTAGAGGAGCTGTCCCCCCCCCTTAAAATTGATTAAGTAATATGCATTTTTTAATTCACATGTATGGAATAATCCTCTAATGATTTAAAAAAAATAATTCCACACCAAAGATGACAAATAAAACTCTTTCAGTATAGCTATTTTTGACGAAACAAGTAATGTATAAAAAAATTTTAAGTCAATTCCCACTTAGATCAACAAAGAAAATTTTTTATTTTAGTTACTTTTTATTAAATACGTAGTCACAATTAGTATAGATATGTATACTCATCTGACAGAATCACAATATTAAATGGCAAAATAGAAAGCGATTTTCCTTGCAGTTTTCCATTTTCCTTTCTATATAGGGTGTTGGACAATTATTTTTGTTTTTTACTCTTAATTCATTAATTAAATATAATTATTCCAATAAAATAGTATAGTAAAAAGAAATCACATTCTCAGAAATTAGGCCATCCCAGATGGAATTCGAACCCATGATCTTTGTATTGGATGTCCAACGTGCAATCCATTGCGCTACAGGGACACAAAGAGAGATTTTCCTTTTTATATATCGTGTATGACTATTGTTTTTGTTTGTTACTATTTATTCATTATTTAAATTTAATTAATGAATTAATATTTGAAAAACCTGTATTAACATCAAATGCCATCCACTACAAGTTTAAAAAAATGTATATGAACTTGAGTGGATGAATAAAACGTATTTTATCAACGATTGAAAATTTGAACAAGATATATATGTATATAAATAAATATATATAGAGAGAGTGCGAACTAATAGTAGGAATTGAAAAAGGTGAAGAAGTAAAATGTTTTAAAAGCTGAAATTTAATAATTTTATTAATTTATTTTAGTGATTGTCTCTATTTTATTTTTAAACTTTAATTGCTTCATCTTTCGTGCTTATTTTATGTTTTTTATATTAAATCAATTACTTCATAGTATATTTGGATATTTTTCTAATCGTATTTATTAGAAACACAAGTAATTAATTATTTTATACGACATTCTCCATAACTTATTAATATCATATTTAACAAACAAAATCTGTAACAACAGATCTGCCGTGTTTGTCTTTTATAAAATTTAGTTACGATTATACATAAGAAATCGAGAACTCAAGCTCTCTATATCAGATTTAAATTAAATTAATTAATTTGTTATAGAGCAAGATTCTTTTCATTTTTTAAATAAATAAATAAATTTCCAATGAAAATTATCTAACATTACTCAATATTTAGTTACACACACAAACACAACAGTGAATCCACTTATGCCATTTCATCAAATATTGAGACTGATAATTAATTCTTTTCGAAATACTTTCTCAAATTTATTTAATTTTAATTCATATAAACAATTATTGAATCATAGATTTTTTTTAAAGTCATTATATCAATCTTTGCTCGTAAAAAAGTTCTCACTTCACGAATTTTTGTCCAATCCATGATTTTGGATTTAAAATACATCCCAATTAAATTTCCATAAATGAAATCCAAACTAAAAATATTTTTGTTTCTTACACTGTTTTCCAACATAAAAAGCAGTCATTTCCACAGAAGATTAATTAAAAACAACGGAAAAATTATCGTTTACTTGCTTATAAAAATTCATTGAAAATAAAAAAAATCACTTTCAAAAGATAAATATAATGATAATGCGTTTTCGAATATAAAAAAATGAATATTAGTCTAAACATCAGCTTAATCTCCCCGAATCAAAATAAGTCTTGTGAGAATATTCTTAGAAATTTTACATCAGAAACATTATGCATTTTTATTTAAAAATTAATTATTGTAATACACTGATTATTACTGTATTGTTACATAACGTGTCATTTTTTCTTTTAATTTGAAACACAACACACACATATTAAATTTTTTCTAAAAAAAAAATTTTAATTTTTCTACGAAAAAAAAAATTTAAAAATTTAAATGTTGAAAATTTTGAAAAAGAGAGGAATTTTTATCTAATATCTAAAGCACGTCACAAACTAATTTTTACATAAGATACAAACTCAACGCGATACAATCTCAAAATTCTCGTCTTTTTAACATCGTGTGATGATCAAATCAAAGTATCAAAATTTAATCAAAAAGGAGAGACATAAATAAATGACATTGAAATTTATGTACCTGTTCGTATTGCAAACTTTACATACCGATTTCAATACAATTTCCCTTTCAAAAGAGCAATCAAGTTTGCAACCCACATCTTAAGTTACAAGAGCATTCAATGAATACAAAATAGAAAAGAAATTCATTTTTTTAAAAAAATATCCAGGAATTAAAACAAATTGCAGATTCAACGAACAGGAAAGCATCAAAAAACCGCAATATACATGACGTCATTTTACCGTTTTACCAAAACCCCTACAGTTCGTAGAAACGTAAAAACCTTAACCAAACGGAGGAGGAGGTTTAGAGTTAATCATTGAATCATTTCTTGTCATCTAAATGAATGAAAAAGCCGCAACTATTCCAAGAGACAAGGATATAATGTGAAAATCTTGGCTCTTTTTTCCTGGTATAATTGGTTTCGTTCTCTCTATAAACAAACGCTGTAACTGGTTCTTTTTTAAAAATCAAGGTTGAATATCTAAAATTCGAGGAATTTCAGATACAATTATTTAAACGAATTGTTTCAAATAGAATTACTTGAATCACACACAAAAACAAGAACTTGCGCCAAACATACAAATTAGTAATATATATATATTTCGTTTTACACAGAAGGAAAATGAAAAAACACGTTTAGTGATTTGAAGAGTTACTAAATTAAAATTATGCTTCAAGTTAGTGAAACAAATCTTTAAATAATTATTAATGTATAAAAGACCTAGAGTAATTAAATCTACAAAACATATTTAATTTTATGCATATATCGATTATAAACACATTCTTACAAATTAATTGTGCAACAGTTCTATGTTCAACACATAATCAATTAAAAAAAGAAGCTGATTTTTTCACCAACGTTTCACCTGATTTTTACACCAATCATTTTACGCTTGCTTTATCGTAGAAGTCATGCGTAAAATGTATTGTGTATTTAAACTTATGCGGAAGAATCGAACAAGAGTATTTCATCTATTTGAATGTATTTGCATAACATTCAAATAGATGCGCATAATTTCCATTGAAATTCCCATACATATATATGAAAACGGATTCTTTTTATGTCTTTCGGGAACCAATTTTCAATTTTGTCTTTTACCTTATAACAATTTTTTTCGTTATTTATTGGAAATCCGTGTCCTAGTTCCTAGCATTTTAGATCACTCGGTTCCTACACAAGTCACACACACGCGCGTTTTAACAATAGGGAGAAAAGCAAACAAAAATACCATAAAACAATGGGAAAGAATTGAAGAACTCTTCCTGCTTCTTTAGAATTCACTCGAGTAATATGGCAACATGTCAACTTATGATGGAAATTGGTGGGTGTAACGCAAATCGCGATTCAATTGGACGTAAAAGTTGTGTAGGAAAACTCCTAAATTTTGTGGCACATATTTTGAGAATGCTCTTTGTAGTTGATTTGAAAAATAATATTAGCCATATTTAGAGTGAAATAATTCAACATTACAAAAAATAGTTTCCTATTTGTAAATAAAAATAAATTATATGAAAAAAAATCATAGGAAACATACATTTTACAGTGTTTATTGAAAAATGCGCCGTTGTTTCATTCCTTTCAAAATTGTCAAAGGCCCGCCCTTGGTCAATTTGCTGAAGTGAGCGATGAATGATTGCATCGATTTTCTTCACCTCCAAACATATTGAATTTTGTATAAATATTTACATATCGTTATCGAAGAACAAGCTAGTCAATGTTTATGCTGATTAATCAATCGATGAAAAAAGCAATCTACCACAAACAACTAGCGAATGCAATACAGAAAAAAAGAAAGAGGTTATTAACATTTCTCTATGCAACTATGATTAATAAAGAAAATTGAATATAATATTCAGAATATACCCATTATAAAAAATATCTATAAGCATACCTCAAAAAGATAAGAATAATTACTTATAGAAACTATATTATGATTTACATTTTTTCTTCACTACGTTTATAAAACCGGCAAGTTCCAAGAACATTTGAAAAAAACATGCAGCCGAAATCATAAAACTATGTTAAACATCGTAATTTTCATGAAAATTTTGAAATTTTCTGTCTGGCGCTATTTTTTAAGTTCTGTAATCGTATGAAAGGAAGAATAATAGCTTTTGCAAATAGAGATATACAGACATATTAGCTTTATTAAACGTCAAACAAAAATGACCACACAAAAAAGGCGTTTTCTCAGAATCAAAGAATGATAATTTTACGATGCAAAACAAAATCTATATTCAGGCAATTATATGCAAGCGGAAATGTAAATTTAAACATAATATGAAGAGAATTTAAACATATATCATTTTATTAAGCATGTATAGTTTAGTCAATAGACTGGAAAAAATGAAAAAGGGAGCGATTTTGCATATTCAAATAAATGGAAAAAGTAAAAGATATAAGTAATTGTAATAAGATTTTCATCCGAAAACGGTTAAACACATTCCTAACGCATTGAAAATAATTTATTCATATATTTTCACTTAAAGCTACGAGTAAATTATATTTCAACGATTCAGTTTCAGAGAAATGTAATACTGAATTCTGAAACTATACAACTACTAATACAAACTAAAATTTATTTAAAGCCGTAATCTATTTCAACATTGATAGCATTAAGCTTCAACTACAACGTGTTTCCTTTATTCATAAACATTTCCAAGAATGCAGAATACAGACAGTAAAATTCCGAGGTAGAACCAAACTATCTTACCAAATTACCAAGCAAAATTAATTAGCAATTTTTTACAATTTTATTTAAAGAATAGTTAGATATACTGACTACATCATTATCGCTGGGTTTGCTAACACTGATTAAAAATAAAAATAATTTACGAGGTCGTTAAGTAGAATCGGCAAGGAACTGATAGCGTCAGAAAGTGCAAGGCGATAATAACCGTGGCAGAGTTTTTATCAATGAACGTAACCCTTTTTTTGCCAGTTAATAAAATAAATAAATAAAAGATGAGCCACGAAGAATACGGTCGCCTCTTAACAATTTTCATCAGTTGCAACTGGTCGTCAATTTCATCACGGTTTCATCTCGCCTGGCATTGAACTCGTTTACGACGGTGACGTCAAATGATGCAAAAATGGCCGTCATTCTGCATGATTGACCCAATGCTAGCATTTATTACACTTGTTTATTCATAGTGAAAAAGATTTTTTAAAAAAAGAATATATTCTTATGGTTAATATTTGATTACCACAACGAGGATGTGAAAAATTCTTTTGAAAGGGGCAAGAGTCCATAAGTCAATGTTTAAGTTCTAAGTGTGTATCAATTATATATATATATATATATAAGTATGGAATGAAATCAGAATTATATCATAATCAGACGGAGCAACATTTCAAAATGTGTGTATATCCATACATAAAATAATAAACTATTTTTAATGAAGC